TCATAGTACTGGCCGTAAAGCACTCACAGCAGAATGGGGCACGGTCGCCCCTTAGTAAGTGGGAGCTATTATTATTGGTTTGTAGCTATTATTAGTAATAATAGTAATGGCATCCCTGCCAGTATTAGAGCCACCCAGGCCAGAAACCTCTGTGCTCCCACATCCCCAGGTCTCACCCATTCCACATCCTAATGGGTGACGGCAGCAAGAGCCCCCCAGCTGGCCTCCCTCCCCCTAGCTGCTCCTCCACGTGGAGATGTTCTGGAATATTTCCTGAGCTTGGGAAAGTATGAGCATCAAAAATGATGTCAGCACGCGCATGTACTGCCACCCAGCCTCGATGTGGGCCTTGTTGGCCTCAGTGTTTTTCCCATCCCTGACCCCATTCCTCTCCTCTGTCCGAGGGGATTCAGGTTTGTCATTCTGAGGCACATTTTCTACTATGTGTGCTATTCATAAACAGGTGTGTTGTCACAAGCCACATGTATGACTATACCACACTTTTTGGAGCCATTCCACCGACGGCCGGCCCTCGGCTCTTTCTAGCTATTAAGATGACGCTGCTTGCTTCCCAGCGTCCCGAAGGGGCATCAATTCAAGCTTATGGGTGGGTTCAGGCTCCCTTTTCCTGGAATGCCCGTTTCCCTACTGAGTTCTGTATTTTCCCAGTGTTTTGTAGGAATTCTTTATTCTGGAGAATCCTGTATCAGTTCTGTGCATTTGTAAGGATCTTCTCTTAGCCTGTCCTATCTTTTCACTGTAGTTATGGTGTCTTTTGTTGTCCAGAAGTTTTACATTTTAACATAGTCAAATTTATCTTTTCCATTCTTGTTTGCCCATGTTTTGTCTTAAGGGAATTCCCTGGCCGTCCAGTGGTTAGGATTCATCGCTTTCACTGCCAGGGCCCAGGTTCGATCCCTGGTCGGGGAACTAAGATCCTGCATACCGCGAGGCATGGCCAAAAAAAAAAAAAAAAAAAAAAAGAAAGAATTGCTTCTCTATCTCAGCATCATAAAGACTCTGTTCTCTCGCCTCCAAGGTAGTTTTAAAGCTCAGTCCGTTTAGGACTTTGATCCATTTTGAATTGCTTGGTGTGGGTTTAGAGCAGTGGCAGCCGGGGAGGTGGGGAGTGCCCCCCGGTGGCCTTAGCTTGAGGGGGACTCTGAAGGGAAGCTGGCTTGGGTTCAGACATTTTGGGACTGGAGCGGGGCCATTTGAATGGTGGCTTCGCTGGTGCACGCGAGTCTTCACTGCCGTAGGGTGAGTGAGGACTGGAAGCGGCAGAACGCTGGATCCTTACCGTGTGCCTGGGCCCGCACTGCTTTGCCCGTTGCCCCGCATTTCCCCATCTTGTTTGTAGCCTTCACCCTTTCTGGGAGGGCTCCTGTCTTACCTGTCCTGGTCCCACACACCTTCACTAGCTCTTGGGGCCCATCGTGACTGCTGAGGAGAAGAGAGGAGGCTGAAGGAGCCCCAGGCGCTCTCTGCAGGAGTGGCCCAGGAGCTCCAGGCCTCCACACCCAGAGGTCTGCCTCTGCTCTGCGCCACGTGGGTCAAGGGGAAGGTTGCTGGGCTGTCAGGGGCATCACTCCGGTGGCCTCGATCTGCTCCTTGGTGTGTGTGCCCATCCCCCTCTTGACATCCCAGACCACCCTGCACTCCCCTCCCACTGCCTGGGCCCAGTTTCCATAGCAACGCTGCTGCTGGGTAACGTTTCCAGGGAGACATACATCCCTGTGTTTCCCAGTGTCACCTGAGCGTCCCACTGCACATGGTGAAAAGGTGAAACGTCCCCCACCCCCCACCAACCCCGGTCAAAGATGCTGAGCATAGCTCTCGGCCCTTGGCCCTTCTGCTTCTTACAGGAGCCCTTGACTTAAGGGCAGTGGGGAGCCGGTAAATGTTCTGAAACCCAAAGCCCTCGTCTGGAGCCTTTGTCGATTTCCACGGTGTAAATACTCCTACCATGGCCACCAGCCCGATGTCACTGAATGCGGGGATGGGAAGACATGCACAGTCGCACACTGCCCTATGGTGTCTCCTTCCAGACACACTAGACCAGATAAAAGTGTAGTAAAATAATTAGAAAGCCATGAGCTTGGAGGACTCATTGCCTTTGTTTTTATTTTTATTTATTTATTTAAAGTTCACACGATGAGATTCTTTAAAAGTATTCCAAGGGACTGAAGAAACATGGTAGTTTAAGATACAAAAGATAGTCAC